AGAAAGGAGTCAAACAATCTCCCGTGAAAAGGGGAAGGCCCCTAGGCTCCCAGTGTGTTCCTCTCCAGAGTGGAGCGTTCTTGCTGCTCTTCACTTACCCTTTCATGGCATAGTTTTCGTCATTCACATTGTTGAGCTTTCACCTTAAGACATTTCCCGGAGATCTTTGATTACAAGGAAGTAGCGTGTACGTATACGTACTTACTGAGAAAATTGGTAAAGTCTTGGTAGGGTTGGACCCCTCCCCTACCAGCTCCTTTCTATTATAGGAATTGTCTAAATAGTCCCACATGTTTAAATACTCTGTGGATGTTAGAGATGATCATGTCAATCGAAGTTTAAAGTGACTCTAATTTTAAAAAGCAGCACGTGAAAATGAAAGTCCATTCTAAACCTTAATTGTACGCAGGTAAACCAAGGCCATGAAATTGCCCTCTCTAGTCTGCTCAGCCTCTCCTCAGGATTTGGAGTTTGAAAGCATTGCATTTCCCTTCTAGTATCTCTCTAATTACCTACTGGAGGCTTGGAGGGAGGATGGTGGGTGCCACGGGGCTCATGACTAAAACAAAGAGTGGTTCTAATTTTAGTCTTAATGGCGCCATTTGAGACACAGAGAAGGGGAGGTGTGTTTGGCTGCCTTTGCACTGAAAGTCTTCCCAAAATAAAGCCCTGCTGACCCCGGTGCTCTATTGTCATGTGGTATGCACAAAGATGTAGCTTTCCCCCGTTCACACAAACACATGAGGAACCTGGCTTGTAAAAAATGATGCAACTGGAGCTGCCTGATTGCAGTCAGGAGGAGCTTAAGACTCCTAGGACATGGAAGTTCTCTCTCTCTCTCTCTCTCTCTCTCTGTGTGTATGTGTGTATGTGTGTTTCTCCCCAGCAGTGATGCAGGCTCCAGGGTCTAAGAAGTCTCAGTTTCAGAGGTACCCATTCAAGGCAGGCTGCTGACTCACTTGCCTTTTGGTATGAGTGCAGAGAGCTGGAAGGCAGCAACAGCCCTAGTCCACTGGGGACAGTGGGTTGTGCTACCCAGGCCCTTGTCCACAGTCAGCTGTAGGAAGAGCCCGACAAGAGTCACCAGTGGGCTGGTACATATGGTCTTACTGCACATGTCCAGGTTTTTTTTGTTTTGTTTTGTTTTTCCTTTTAGGCTTTCCTGCTTGGCTGGAACCCTGGTATTGTTTCCTTGTTTGTAGAAGCAACGTCCGTCATTACTGACCCTTCCCACTGCACAGCCAACGGCAGGCAGTAAAGCAGTGCTGGTCCCTGGTCCTTGGGCTCAGTGTGGTCTTCCAGGACTGGGGCCGGAGGAATACAGGAAGGTGTGCCTTGGTGCAAGGTGACCAGAGCCTTCCCAGGATGCAGGAACCACAAACTCCCCCAGAACATGGTTCCGGGGAAAATTTAGGAGGGAGGGAGGAAGGTATACGCTACACCAGCTGCGAGAGAAGATTGGGAGAACTGGAGGCTTTCTGCCTTTCCCCCAGAGGCCTCTGGGTGAACATGTCTCCAGTTCCTGCTGCTGGCCACGGCTCTGCCACTCCAGCTGGGGGCCTCTCAGTGGGGCTGCCCATAGGTTTGCTCTCTCTGCAGCAAATGACAGGATGCTGTCAGGCAGCATATGGCTGCTGCTCGTGGCTAGTGTCTCTTAGATAGGGCAGTGAGGCAAGGTGGGAGCCCCTTCATTGTTCCATCCAGTAACAATCAGATTCTAGATCAACCAGGTAAGGTAGATGAGGTGTATTTGATATGTTAGGATTTCTAATGTCTAGGACTCAGTCTTGATGATGATGATGATGATGATGATGATGATGATGATGATGATGATTGCAGTTCCCTAACAGGAATACAATACAGCACTGGCTTCTTGCCTTTTGATTTCCCCAATAAGGACCCTGGCTCCCAGAATTTTCTAAGAGCAGCCTGCTTAGCTCAGGCGGCCTTTCGAGAGAGAGAGAGAGAGAGAGAGAGAGAGAGAGAGCGCACAGCAGCTGCCCTGATGAAGGGAAGAAGTTAGCAGAAGCAGCTAGAGATGCGGCCCTCGGCAAGAGGGGCTTAGATGAATATGCTTCTGTTACCTGCCTAGTGCAGAGGGTAGTTCTGATGGTCAGGTGGGTCCTTGCTCCTGGAAGGCTCGGTAAGGAAGTGGAGTCCTGCTGAAGATCAGCAGAGGCCACTCCAGGTCCGGCCCTCCACTTTGTCCCTCTGCTCTCTACCCGTTCCCCTCCCCCTTATGTCCGACAGCCCGAACAGGAGGAGCTGCAGCTGTAGAACTGGTGTGGGCTTGGGCAGAGGGGGGAGGGGGAGGGGGGTGGCCCGCATGTCTCAGAGGATTTGACATTAATTACCGTCGTGACTGCTTTCTGTGTGTAACTATTTTACCGGTACTTTGAGCCTCCTAATGTGGCGCTAAAGGGGGCCTCCACCCCCAACCCTCCAGATGTCCCAGCCTTTGGAAACTGTGGCCTCCCAGATCTCTGGTGGCAGGGATGCGTGCAACAATCTGAAGGGCCAAGTGCTCTAACTTCCTAGGGCTTGGTCTGATATCACAGTAAGCAGATGATAATTACAAGGTTCCTTCGCTCCCCACTTTCCACACCCCAACAAGACACCATGGGTTTATTTATAAATGCAAGCCCCTGGGTGCACTTCCCCCGGGAAGGACCACGCTGACAGCGCACTAGCGGTGCTAATGGAAGACAGGAAGCATGTGTTTGGAGGGATGCAGGATGTGTGGAGGGAGGGCAATGGGTCAAGCAGCTGCCACAGCCAGGGGTGGGGCTGTCTGCCCTGCCTCTCAAAGATCTTAGGATATGGAAGGGAGAGCCTACTCGACTGTCTTTCCTGTCAAGGGTGGGGCCCTGAGATGAACTGCTTTTCCTCTTCCCAGGGTTGGCAGGAACTGGAAATAATTGAAAGTTGTTAGGGTCCAACATGCTGCTTTGAAAACACTATCATTACTCTCCTAATGACTAAGTGTGTCTTCCAGGAGGAGATGTAGGCAGCTGAGGCCTCCCCCCACACCCCCAGCTCCTGGAGTGCAGAGTAGGAGGCTGGCAACCTGTAATCTGGAGAAGGGAGCGCTTTTGGCAGAGCCTGCTTCAGCTTCAGCCTCCGGAGCCACTGTGCAGAGCCCAGGAGGCCGACGGCCGGAGCACTCTGGTCCTGTACACACTTTGGATCTTAGTCTATGTCCTTGTTTAGGTCTGGTCTTGTTGGCTGGCTGATCTCAACCTCTTTGTGTTCATCTCCCAGGCAGATAGATTCTTGTCTCAGTGGCTCACAGCCTGGTGCCTGAGGCACCCTTCTCCAGACCTCTGCCTTTTTCTCTACCATAGGGTACTCCTCCCTCTCCCAAGAGTATGTGTTGCCCACATACTCTCTGGTTTTGCTGCACTCAACCTCTAGATAAGGGCATGCAACAGCCCTCTCTTGCCCACACCGAGGCCCTTAAAAGGCTGTCATTGAATCACACAGGTGATGTTTTGAATACAAATAATGCACCCCTTTCTGACCCACCTACCCCAAGTGACTACTGTGTATGTCTGCCTTGGGAGTCCAGAATTTTCTTCCTCAGAGTGGATTCCAGGACATCATACCCACATGACTCTGGGTGTTGACAAGAGCCACGTGGTTACTGTGATGAGGCTTCAGACCTACAAGGGTCTTGCCGACTCTGCAAAAGAGATCAAGATTGTAATAGGTGGAGGGTTGAGGAGGGGAGAGAGATATGTACATAGAGACTCTTTTGCTTATATATCATCATTGTCACCAAAGCAAGTTGATGGTGGTTTTGAGGCCTCAGGGCTGAAGGAGGTTTGTCATCTCAGCTAGAATGTCACCTTCAACCCACTTCTCTGCTCACCAGCCTGTTCATCTGACAACAAAGAAGCAACCATGTATCCCAGAGATGTTTGCAAGTCTGGAGGTAAATCTTCCCATCACTCTCCCCACCTGTGAAAGGCAGAGCTTGCTCCCTGAGTCCAAAGAGGCCTTCTCCGGCTGAACCAGGCTGCTGTCAAAAGGCCTTAGGAAGCCAGCAGGGACGACCCTGGGCTCCTGGGTGTTTAGGTACTGGTGTTTAGGCAGAGTCCCAGCACTCCCAGCTTGTGCCAGTGCTGGGATGACAATATGGCCTGGTTTCTTTTACTTTCCTGTTGTGCAGAAAGAAATAAGCCTAAACTAATAGAGCACAACCAGATAAAAGAGTTTAGTCTGATGAAGACGATAGTTAATTGAAACAAAACAGAGCAAGACATCTCAGGGGAAATGTACACACACACACACACACACACACACACACACACACACACACACATCCTGGTATGTTTTCTAACAGCCACCACAGCCAGTTCTTCCGTCCGTCCTCAGCCTTGAGTCATTTGTGGGCAGGTGTGCAGGCCCAGCACACGAGAGAACCTGGATGCAAGTTCTGCAGTCTGGATTGTGTTGGCTAGCAAAGGCTACCCGCGCAGAGGGGTCACTCTGCCAAAAGCTTGCTGGTCAACGGATCAGGCCCGCACAGTCGCGAAGGGCCGTGGATCCAACTGACCGGCCCAGAATACCAGCGCTCGAGACTGGGTGTCTACAGTTTCCCGAAAGCCGCGAGTGTCAGACACCTGCAGGCGATCGCGCTGGAGATGCAGGCCGCGCAGCCATCTCACAGCCACGCATTCACTCCCTTCCCTCTAGCCTTCTCGTGGCCCCGCCCCAGGCCCCGCCCACGTCCTGTCCCCGCCCCCGCCAGTTGACTAGTCTTCCCAGAGGCCCCGCCTCCTCCCAGCCCTAGAGTAGGGCCCCGCCCAACCCTAACCGCCCTTCGACGCTAAACGGCTTCCAGCCGGAGGAGCTTCCGAGTTCGGATTGGCCGTGCTGGTCACCGTCCCGCAGTTCGATAGGATCCCGGCGCCCGCTTTCTCAGGCCCTGCCCTTGGGCCGAGGCGGGGCCAGAGGCGGCGGGCTGCGCGGGAGTGGTTGGCTGCGCGGAGGGGGCGGGTCCTCGCCGCGCGCAGTGCTCGGGCCGGAGCTCGAGGCGCTGCTTACCGTCGCCAGAGCTAGGAGACGCCGCGGCCGCCGCTCGGTCGCCTCGGGCTTCGCGTCGCGCCGTGTCCGCCTCCTCTGCCCCACCCGATCGGCAGCGTAGGCTCTACCTGGCCCGCGGCCTCGCTGTCCGCGGCGGGGCAGGTGAGTGAGTGGCGGCGGGTTTAAGGGAAGGGGGGGGGGGCTCCAGCGCGGGGGCAGCCCGCACGCCGCGTCCCAGGCCAGCGGAGACCCCGCGAAAGGCCGGAGGATCCGACGGTTCGCGGTCAGAAAACTTCATCCGAGCCTGGATGTTGGGGGTCCGGGAAGGTGGGTTGAGATTGGCGATTTCAGGGCTAGGGCCGGGACTCCAGGCTGAAGCGAGGGTCCCAGGCTGAGATGAGGGTCTCGGGCTGAGGGCGGAGGTCCCGGGACAGAAGATGGGGGTGCCGGGCTGAGACCCATGTTCTAGGCTGAGACCGAGGTCCTAGGCTGAGGGCGGGGATCCCAAGACTGAGTGCACAGATCTCAGGGCTGGGGGCTGAGGTTGCAGGGCTTAGTGCGGGGTTCCAGGCTTGAGGTGGGGGGTCCCAGGCCAAGGCGATGGTCGCAGGACTGAGGTTGGGGATCCCAGGCTTGAGGCGAGCATGCCAGGCTGAGCTAGGGGGTTGGGGGAGGGTTCCCAGGCTGAACCTGGGATCCCAGGCTGAGGCGGGAATCACTTATTCGAGAGGGGGAGTGCGGGATTGATGATGGTCGGGCTCCTGAGTAGACTGGTTCCTGGTGGCCCTTGGGCGTGGATCCTGGACCAGAGCAGGGTCCTAGACAGAAGTTTCCAGCGAGGGGCTCAGTCTGTGGCCCTGCATGGTCTTGGGTGAGGTGCCTGGATTCAGGCATGGCCTAGGGTCATTGTGAAAGTCTGATGGTAACTGGCCCTTGCCCACGTTGGGGAGCCACTCAGGAGAGCCCAGGCCTCTCCACTCGCTCGCCAAATTCAGAAGTTGTCAGTGGACACATAACTCTGCAGGCTTTCGGGTCATCGTAAAATAGCTGTGATCTCACTGGGACATGCAAGGCTTGGACGGATGTCTCGTGATTGAGGCGAGCTGGGAAAAAAAGGAAAGTCGGGATGGATGTGGGGCGAGGGCAGGGTGCGGCCACGTCTCCTCTCCCCTCCACTGCAGTCTCCCGTTCCTTCTATTCTCCTTGCTCTCCTCTGGTTTTCTTCGCCATCCATTAGAGTGAGACCAGGTAGACCAGACAGGCGCTGGTTCTTCTTTTTGATCAGTATATTTTCTGTTTTGGGAAAGAGGTGTGCTCAGAACTGTTTCCTATTGTCCCCCCAAAGTGTTTTGTTTAATGAGAGTGTTTAGTTGTCTAGTTTCCCTTCTTCCTCTGCACTGCATGGTTTGTAAAGGAAAATTTTAAGTTAGTGGAAGATGGGGCCCAGGGTTATTTTACTTTTCTTTACAGCTCTGTGGACGTTCAAATCTCATTCATTATCTTTGTCTGTGAACTAATGGTACTGTAGTTTGAGGAGAGCTTTTAGTGGGTGGTGCACCAAAAGGAATCCTGGGTGCCAGGGCCTTGGAGAAAGACCCTTTGAGGTCAGACTGAATAGCTAGCATTCAAATTCTCCCTCTCAACCCATTTCTCTGACACAGTCCTACTGAAACTTAGCTCGCTTTCTGAGGCAAACTTGTGCCCCATTTCTCTTCTTCGGACTTAATTGTGATTTCAGTTCCAGAGGAACTGCAGGGTGTGTCTCTGCTTCCAACTGACCCCTAGTTCCCACGACAAGAACGGTTTATTATCTAACATCTGATATGCCCGTTTTGTTCCAGAGACGAGTGTGCGTTAGATCAGTGCTCTCTGGAGATGGCTGGAGGAGCTCTGCTTGGTGGCTTGAGGTCTTCTAACTGTTAAGTTCGGCTGAGGTCTTCCGTTTTTCACCACTGCCACTTGAACTTCTGTGTAGGTGCCATTATTAACACAGTGCATACTCAGTGCACATGTTTTGGAATTTATATAACGTCATGCATTTAGTTACAGCTTCATATTACAAAGCTTTGAAAAAAGTTCCCAGGCTGGTGAGATGGCTTATCCTGTAATAGCACTTGCCTGGAAGGCCTTATGATCTGAGTTTAGTCCCTGGAACCCAGGGTGGGAGGAATGATCCGATTCCTGAAAGTGGTCCTCTGACCACTGCAGGAACGCTGTGACATGCATGTGTGCACATGTTGCATGAACGTCCGTGTGTGTGCACGCACACACACACACACACACACGCACACACATAAAATAATAAAGTAAGTTTGTTAAAAATAGGATCTTTATAAGTGAATATATCAGACACTGTATCTGAAATTCAGAGCGAGTGTTGCCCCAGTAATGCTCATTTGTAGGTAGAAGAAAATTCACACAGATTTATGCGTCTTTCAGCTTTTTATAAGAAAAAAAAGGCATGCAACATGTAACACATGAGGCATGGTTCTAGCTTGTCATTTTTGAGTCAAGATCTTGTTCTGTAACCCAAGTTCCCAAGCATGTCACTGTGAGACAACATTATCATTTATAAAGTTCTCACGCCCAATAACCTCAAAATTGAGTTACAAATAAGCTTTTAAAACCTTATAACATTTTTAAGTTGATGATTTTAGGTTGAGCTGTTCTTGGCCTCATGTGGGCACTGGGCACAGGTCTTCCTATCTCAAATCTTCCTATCTCAGCCTTCCAAATGAGACTATAGTCATGTCCCACCATGTCAGGCCTTGTTACCTGTTTTAAAGAGGCTGTTCTTTGCACCTTGGTGAATACCAGAGGACATGCTGCAGATGTCCAGTGTAAAAGTTCTGTCAGGTCCTTGAAACGGTTCAGGCAATGGGGGTTGGGTTCTGTGTCGGGTTTCAGCGAGTTCTGGATGTGTCAGGGGCAAAGCCATTTCTATTTGCCCAGAAACCTCAGAGCTTTGTTGTAAAGGAGATGACTGAAGCAAATTGGTAGACGTGTTGTGTATCCCCTTGGTGAAGGAGACTGGTGCTCTGGAATATAATAAAAGTGCCATTTCATACACTGAAATTACATCACCCCCCAAGCTTTTGCTGAAATGCAGTAGATTTAGGGGCAGCTCCTAGCCTCTATAGCGAGACTCACTGGCCAGTCGTGGGTCCACTGTCCATGGTCCTGAAGCAGTTTCTCCCTACCCGTTTCTCCCTCACCACTCCCTTTGTCCTTCAAACTTTCTCTCCTGGGAGAATGGGTTTTGGAATTATATTGAAGATACTCTCAGATTTCACATTATTAAAGAAAAATTGGACAGGATTGCTTTGTTGAACTTGAATGAGAGATGCCTTTAAAACAGATCTTATCTCTCCTTTTAAAAAGAGAGGTCTTTTTCTTTTTCTCTCCAGGTAGGGAGTTTTTCTGCTATGGACATCAAGTAATGAGCATTGAAATTAAACAAGTGTCTATTTTCTTAATAACTGCCTTCAAACAAAAAGAACCCTTGATTGCAATACGTACAGGTGTCTGTTTGCAGGGCAGCTTGTCCCCAAACACTGCCACTTGTAACACCCTCACACCTCACAGCCTTCCCTGGAGAGAGGCTGAGAATGCGAGTTTTGGTGATTGGCAGGCATTCATTTCGTGTTGAGAAGCATCTACTTTTGTGTGTGTAGCTTTGAGGAGTGTGAATCATTTCAGATTGAGTCTTTATTTCTCTTGTGGACAATTTTATTGGTTACTTTAGAATTGTTCCATAGGCTAGCAATTAAAAAAAAAAAAAGAGTCACTTGTATAATTCCTTTCACACATCAGTAAGTTGTACATCAAGCTGAGTGGATGGCTTTGTTTTTTGGATAATTACCTGAACTAGTTGCCTGGGTCTAAGTTTCTTATGGCATTTCTTTTGTGGAGGAATCTTCAGGGAATCCTCAGCCTTTTTTTTTTCATCCAGGTTTCAGATATACGCTGAGATACTTAAAACAAGTACTCATTTCTTGCTAAATCTCGTGTTGTGACCTGGGAGCCCACTGGGGTAGTGAAACAGTTCTTGTCAGAGAAGAGCCCACTGTTTGATCTGAGGAAGAGCATATGAACGGTGGATGGCTGCAAGTGACGCCGTTGGGGTGCACAGCCTGCTCGCTGAGTGTGCTGAGAAGCTGGGAAAGTCAGGAAACTTCAGAGAGGAAGCAGCCTTTGGGCTAAGCCCTCATTGGTGAGTTGTAAATGTTGGGCACAGATGGAATAAGTTGGTTAGAAAAAGAAGAGGCGGTTAGTGTAAAATGAGCGTTGGTATGGAAGGAGGAGGGCATGTGTAGGGGTACTAACTGTTGGGAAGTGGGGGGTGAGCTGGAGAGGAGCTTTGTGGTAACTAATGATGGCTTCTGACCCTATGCCCTCGTGCCCAGAGCCTGCCATGTGTTGTGTTGCTTGGCAGGGGAATTAGTGAGCAGATAGGAAAAGGTTGCTCATCAGTTGGTTTAAAATAGGGAGGTGGTTCTGGGTCATCTGGGTAGGCTCACAGTAGTCACAAGCATCCTTAAAGGCGGGAGAGGGAAACACAGGATGTGATGTGTTAGAGTGATGAGAGGTGAGGGTTTTAGATGCCATCACTTCAAAGTCTTCATAACTTTGAAGACACATGCCAAGGAATGTAGCAGCCTCTGAAAAAGGCAAGAAGAGGGTCTCCAGAGGGAGCTCAGTCCTTGATTTGGGAATCAAGTTTGCCCCAAGTAAACATGACTTTGATTCCCACTTTTATTCCCAAAGAAGATGGGTATCTAATGCAATGTTACCTGAGCTGAATCTCACCTCCTGCCTCCTCATAGCAGCTCGCTCAGCCTCTGCTTCTGCTGATCGCCGTGCTCCACTGGCTCACCATTGCTCTGTGCTGGGCACCTGGGAGAGCACAGTCCAGGTGCCCACTACAGAGCTTGAGGGCCACAGCCTCCTTGTTGTCAGTTACCTTCCGAAAGCTTGATTCCCAGCCTCAGGAATTCTTTAATCTTTAGATGTTGTGTCGCCAATCAGGTAGGTATGAAATATCTCACTGTTTTAATTTGCATTTCCTTGATGACTAGTGAGTCTGAGGATTTTTTACCACCTTACTTCCCCACCTTTATTTTATTATTTTTTTTTAAAACCACTTGGGTTTGTTTTTTTTTTTTTTTTCCCTATAAATTGTAATGTTATGTCGTTCATCTGTTTATTGCCTGGTTTATGTCCTTGTACCTTTTTCAGAGTTCTTTGTACATATTTTGATTCTACTTTTGTCTCATTCCTTATTCTTTAAAAAATGTTGCTTTGATGAATAGATGTTTGATTCTAATGTAGTAAAACTCAGCAATCTTTTTATGATTTGTGGTTATTGGGTCTTATTTGAGGAATCTATGTACTTCAAGGTCATAAGACAGTCTTCTTTTTAAAAAGTTCAAATATTTAGCTTTTATATTTTACTTGGAATTCATTTTTTGTATGTCTAACAAATTGTACCATTCTTATTTATTACCACCTTTTCCCAGTGATTTGCAATGCTGCTTTTGAAACACTGAATTTCACACATGGTGTGAATACATTTTCTGTTTCCCTCCTCCTCCTCCTCCTCCCCTAAAGACAGGGTTTTTCTTTGTAGCCTGGCTATTCTGGAACTTTCTCTATAGACCATGCTGGCTTTGAACTCAGAGATGTACCTCCATGCACCACCATGCCTGTCTTTGTGTGTGTGCATATGTTATTTTTATATATAATTATAGTTTAATTTCTTTTTTTATAGTCCTTAAATATTTTATTTACTTCCTATGGCATACGAGGCAAAGCTCCTGGAAATGGGATGAGAATATCCTTGTAGTGCTTCTCAAGCTAGGAATAATCACATTAGAAGTTTAATAGTGAACTTTGCTTTTATATTCTAGTAGATTCCTTTTTTTGGGTTATGGATTGCCTCACCTATTAATAGTTCGATGAAAGTTTTTTTTTTTTTGTTAAAGTCAGCTGAGCGTGTTGATAGATGCCTGTAATTCTAGCACTCAGGATGCTGAGACAGGAAGATTTTGAACTCAAGGCTAGCCTGGGCTACATAGAACCTGTGTAAGAAAAACCAAAAATATATTTTGATTTTTATTAAATGTCTTAAGTATACTTTTCAGATAATTTTATGTTTTCTTCTTTACACATCCACTGAAATAAAATACTTTAAATCTTTAAATTTTAAGTTATCACTAATTTTCTGGGTTATATGTTGCTAGGTCATGATTACTACATTAAACCATTGTCATATATACTCATAAACACACATTGGCCATTGGTGAACTTCTGCATTGCCCATTTTCAGATTTGGTGTCATGGTGTTGCTTCACTTTCTCTGGAACAGTTTTTGGAAGGGAAAATACTTTGTCCTTTGGAAGTTGACAGAATTACCTTTTTTGACGTCTTGCTGTATAGTTTAGGCTGGGCTTAAAAACGCAAAATCTCTGAGCCTCCCAGATGCTGGGTGGGTATGTAGCTGCACACCTGTGCCAAGCGTGCAGCGGGCACAGCCCTGTCAAAATTGCTTAGACGCTCTGGGCCTGCTCCTTTTAGATGGACAGTCAACTAGAAGGGCCGCCGTGTATCTGCTCACATCAAATGGTGCCAGCGAGTGGAGTCTCGCATGTCTTACAAGTGTAGGAAGCCTGAACCTTGGCAAATACTAGTGGTATTCACCATTCGGAAAAGACTAATGGATGTTTCAGGCTTGTTTGTTGTAAGAGACCAAAGTGGAATGTGAGGCTAGACCTCATCTGTGATTTGTGTTTGTTATGGAGAAATTCCTGTGGATTAGGCAGCTTTGCATCTCTATGCCCAGCATAATAAGCTCCTTATGCAGTAAGGGGAGATTTATTTTGGTTCATGGTTTTGGAGGCTTAAGCCCATGAGTAGGTGGTCCCTGGGGTTTGGGCCTGTAGTAAGTGAATGATGGTGATAGCACTGACCATATCAAGCCAGTGCCTATGTCTTCCAGCAGAGACGCAGAGGCCCCGGTCTCAATGCGCTGTGCGGGCAGCCCTCTCCCCCAGCACCTCCCCAGTACCACGGCACCTAGTGCCACTGCCTTAGGGACTAACCCTTTGCATTTGGACCCTTAGGGAACAGCACCCTTACCCTTTCTAAAACTTGCCCGGGCATACTGCATTTCCCTATTTCTCTTTCCATAGTTCCAAATCTTAGCCTTCTGTACTCCTGTTGCAGTTCTTGGTGGCCACTGAGACCCTTAGTGAGCTCAGTTCTCTCTTTCTTAGAGTATTGTCTTGCCTTTGCTGTGCACAGAACAGGGTTGTTTTCTTTGTGGTCGGTTGATCAGAGGGTTTCAGATCTGAGCACACACATTGTCTGGGCTCTTTGCAAGAAGCTAGATATAGATATAGTTAAGGCGGCCCCCGTCATGATACTCATCTCCAAAAGAAATAAAAAAAAGTTCTCTCTGGGTGAATGTAGGTGGAACCTGTGACTTTGTTTTCAACCACAGAATATAGCCAACGTGACAGGATGCCACTTCCATGTTGTATTATGCAAAATCCCATCTTGTTGGGGATTTGATATATAGATTCTCTTTTTCACTTGAAGTAGGGAGAATGCCAGAGATGTAGTAGAGCTCCTTGGAGCTGAGGGTGGACTCAGGACAGTCAGAAGCAGGAAGTACTTAGTCTTCAGTTCAGGGAAACAAATCCTGTTGATTGCTTACACTGTCCCCTCCCCCACACTAGTTACATCGGCAGGTGAGAGAGCACAGCCGGATCAGCATCCTGACTGTGGCCTTGGGAGACCCTAAGCAAGAGGGTCAGCTAAGCCTGCTGAGCTTCGTGCCTCGGAAAGATGATGAGATAAGAGCATATCGTTTGAGCGTATACATTTGTCGTCATAGCCTATACAGCCATAGAAAACTAATGTGCAGATGTCTCATGACCTCAAGAGAAATATGTTTGGATTGCTGAAGAGTCAATCCATCTGAGGTAGTTTATATTTAATTTAAAAAACATCTTTCTACTTATAAAGTAATGCTTTGTATAGAATGCTTTGTATAGAAATACTGAAGCAAGCAGTAGAGATCATTGAAAAATATCCAACACCTTTAGCCTACTCTCTCTCTTTCTCTGTGTGTGTACTTTGTGGTGTATAGTGTATGATGTGCTGGGCATATCTTAAAGTCATGATTCATTCCATAACATAGTCCATGAATAATTTTTTTCTTTAGGTCATGGATTATAGCTCAGTGGTAGAGTATATGCTTAGCATTCATGAAACTGTGTGTTTATGCTCGCATACCAAAGAAAGAAAGAAACAAACAAATAAAGTTATTTACTTCTTGTAACTCATGACAACTTCCACCGTATCACGGATAATCTTCTGAAATACGGTCATAGATGGCAGCATGCTGTGCCAGTAGATAGTCCAGTTTGTTGAACTTTCTTATAACTGAAAATTTATTCTGCTTTATGTAGTATTTAAGCTTTGGTAAATATTCTATACAAAATTATATGTACTGGTGAATACTTCTGCAGGATAAGTTTTGGAAGGCAGAACTATTAGGTCAAAGCTTGCAAATGTTTTTAAACCTTTTGATACCTTACTGTTTAGCTCACACATTTCTAAATGTCCGTTTCTGTAACTTACCAGGTTGGGGATAGGACAGAAGTATTGATTTTTGGGCATTAAGGTTCCTGTTTTCTTAACCCTGTTAGCAAAGTGCTTTTAAATTATTCATTAAAGTGCAATATAGATTCTATTTATAAATGTGTGTATATGAGGCACTCCCTTAATATTTGGGAAAATGCTTACCAGTTTTCATCACTTCTTTAAGTCTTCTTATATTCCTATCTGTCAATTGTTTTCAGGCATTTGAATAGAGATGCTAAGACATATAAGGTGTTATGGGTTTGTATTACTCAGACAAAATGGCTGTTCTGAGCTAACTTTTTTTTTTTTTTTGCCATTTATTAACTAGTTGACCTAATGAAGAGAGATCAGCAGAATATTAACTACTAAAAACATTTTCGTTATCTTAAAGTATGTTTATTTGGAAAATGCTTAAAATAATGAATACCAGTAGAAGCAGAATTTTAAAAATACGAATAATCCTGCCACTGTAGAACTGTGACTGTTAATGCTAGCTTGTTCTTGGGATGTATAGTTAGACTCTAAAGACTGGAATTTTATTTTTGAGATTTGTGCATCTAAACTGTGAGTGAAATTAGATTCCTTTTATTTTCCTTTAGATTTTCCCTTTTTAATCTGAAACAAACATTAATTTGTAGTGTTTTCTTTTTTTCTAGTATATTTTCTAAAAGATAATTTTCTAATAGATATATTTTCTAATAGATATATTTTCTAATAGATATATTTTCTAGTAGATAATACTTGCGCTGTATCTTACAGAGTTTGATTTCTTTTCAGTATTCAGTATTTTCGTAATTTCTGTTATGGTTTTTTTCTTTGACTTACAGGAAATTTAAAAAACTATTGAGACATTTCAATATTATTTTATTATCTTATTATTATTTATATTTATTATTATTATCAAATTATTTATTATCTCATTTTATTTTATTTTATTTCTTATTTATTAATTGAAAATGTCTTATATTTCCAATTAATCAAAACAGCTTTTTATATTGTTCGAAGATTTTACTTTCTATGAGTTTAATCCTTTGAAATTTGCTGATATGCACTGTAAAGACATTCCTGTGTATTTGAAAAAATTAACTTCAAAAAGCCATACATTTGCTTTAGCTAAGTTGTAAACATATTAATCAGAGCTGTTTTCTTACTAGTTTAAGTCTGGTTGCTGTATCTGTTACCAAGATGATTTCATTATCATTATGGATTGCCTTAGTTCTCCATGTAGTTTGGTCAGTAGTTACGTATATGTATATTCGAGGACATATTATTAGCAACATGCAAATTTCAGATTGTTCTGTCCTTTCGTTTTTGAGTTTGAGTCTCCTGAAGTCCAGGTCGGCCTTGAACTCATCCTGGCCCTTCTGCTCTTTCTCCCAAGTGCTGAGATTGTCAGCGCAGGGCCTGTTTCATCTTCTTGATGAATGGAGAGTGTCTAGTGTCCTCCCCATCTCTAGTCCCGAGGCTTTGCCTTTATGGGGGGTGTGCATTATGCTCACATAGCCAGACCTGACTGGTTTAGTCTCATGTCTACAAAGTATCTTTGTTAATGCCCTGATGCTTTAACTATCTCTCTTGGAAGGAAGGCATTTGTTAGATTTTTTTTCCACCTAATTTGACAATTTTGGTCTTTTTCTTCAAGTATTTAGTGTATTTACATTAAATGTAGTTACTGATATATTTGAATTTAAATTCACAGTCTTATGTATTTCTTCCTGTCTTACATTTTCTGTGTTGATTTTTCTCTCATTTAGAATTGATATTGTGATTTTGAAAACAGCCACTTTGTTTCGCCACCCTCTCCCCTATATTAGAAGCTATGGTCAATTTTTCTTCCTTTAGTAGTTGTCATAATTAGATAGTATGTTATAGACTACCCAGATATTGTAATTACAACTTTATCTCTTTTTTAAACCTTTGGTTTATTTTCATTTCTCTCTCTCGCTCTCTCTTTTTTTTTTCATTTCTGATTTTCTTTCTGGGATTTTTCCACCTGTGCTGAAAGGGTCTTCTATGTACATTCTTCAGCTGGATGTTAGATACTTCATAATTTTTTCCCTAAAAGTATTTTTATTTTACTTTTTCCAATTAATCAAAATATTTTAGACATAACAGGCAGAATTTATTCTCTCAAAGTTTACAGTTCTGTGGTTTTGGCATATTTACAGTGTATCCAACTATCATCACTCCTAATTCTTGGGCCCTTTTTGTCATCTTTAAGAAAACTGGACATGGTGGGGGCACACACCTTTAATATCCTAGCACTCAGGAGACACAGGCAGATCTCTAAGTTTGAGGCCAGCATGGTCTACAGGACAGCCAGGGCTACATAGAGAAACCCTATCTCAGACAATAAGAGCAACAACAATGAAAGAAAGAAAAAAAAGAAGGAAGGAAGAAAGAACAGAATAGTATGTTAATAGGTTAATAGTAACTCCTTGGTTTTTTTTCCCCCCTCCTGCCATTGGCATCTTGTAATTTATTTTATGTCTCTAAGGATGTAACTATTGTAGACATTTTATCTGAATGGAATTGTATAACACATGGCCTTCTGTGCCTGCTTTCTTTTAATTAGTATAGTAATTTTAAGCTTCTTCCGTGTAGTAGTGTATCAGTGTATCATAGTATTTCATTTCTTTTTTTATGGTTGAATAATAATGTATTGTATAGTTAAGGTGGCATAGGTGGACATTTGGATTGATTGATTTGTTTGTTTGCTTATTTACTTATAGTCTTCTTAGGTTTATACCTAGAAGTAGAGGTGCTGGGTCAGCTCTTTGCTTAGCTTTTTGATTAGCTGCTAAAGTGTCTTTCAAAAAAAAAAAATGCTGTACCGTTTTACATTCCCACCAGGAGTGTGTGAGGTTACAAGTTTGCCACGTCCATGTCAGCATTTTTTATTTTCCAGTCTTTTTTAAAATCATAGCTATCTGAGTGGGTAGGAGGTGGTAGCTCACTTATGGCATTAGTTAGGATTTTCTTCATAGCTATGTACGTTGTTAACCATTTGTACGTTGTCTTTGGAGAACTGTCTGCCTGATGCTTTACTCATTTTAAAATCGGAGTCTTTGTCCTCTTATTGTTGCATAACAGGGGTTCTCTCTGCTAGTCCCTTATCTGATGGATGTGCTACAGATATTTTTCATCTTACAACTTAATATATTTAAAACTTGATTATATTTACGTCATTTTCCCCTTCACTTTCTTTCCTCCATCCCTTCCTGCGTTTCTCCTTGTTTTGCTCTAGCTGCTTTTTCTTTGATTTTTTTGTTGCCTATGTGTGTTGTGTTTGTATGTATACATGTATACAAACATAAATAAACCCGCTGAGCCCATTTTATTGTCTGTGTGTATACGATTTCACTAACCACATGGTATTGGATAACTGGCTCTCCAGGAGAAACTAATTCTCCCTCTCAGCAGTCATTAGTTGCCTATAGTTCTTTGTCCAGGGGTGGGACTCCCTGTGATTTCCCTCCTTCTGAGTTAGCCTATCTGTTGATGCTGGCATTGTTTAGGTCTTGTTTAAGCAGCCATTTCTAGGAGACTCAGTGTTCACAGAAGACTTCCTGGTCCTCTAGCTCCTACAGTCTTTTCACTCCCTAGTCTGGGATATTCTCTGAACTTGGGTACAGGAGTTGCATTGCAGATGTAGCTCTTGGGGCTCGGCTCCTCAGTCTCTGCCTTGTGTCCAGTTGCGGTTTTCTGTAATGATCTCCATGTGCTGTAAAGAGAAGCTTCTTTGGTGAGGGGTGGGGAACTACATTTTTATCTGAAGACATGGAGCTAGGAACTGCAGAGGAGAGAACAGTGTTTGTCTTTCTGGGTCTGATGACCTCACTCAGTGTAATCTTTTCAAGTTCCACCAATTTTCCTGCAAATTTCATGATCTTACTTTCCTTTCCAGCTGCTAGTATTCCACTGTGAGCTGCAGCATGCTTTTGTTAGGATTGTGACTAGGGCAGCAATTAATGTTGCTGAATAAGTAGCTGTAGAAAGGGATGCAGAGTCCTTTGGGCGTATATGTCAAGGAATGATAGAGCTGGGTCATATGGAGACTTATTTTTTGAGGATTCTTTCTCCATACTGATTTCCACAGTGGCTACACCAGTTTGTAGTCTGACCAACAGCGAATGAGGGTTCTCTTTTCCCCACATCCTTGCCAGCATTTGTCAGTTGTTTTGTTGAACTTAGCTGGTATGACTAGGGTGAGAATGAAAACAATCTCAAAGTTGTTTTAATTTTCATCTCTCTAATTGCTAGGAAGAAGAACATTTTCTTAAACATTTCTATTTCTTCTGTTGAGAACACTCTGTTCATATCCCTGGCCACTTTTTTTTTAATTGAAAAAAATGTTTATACAATATAATCTGATGATGCCTTACCCCTCCTCCACCTTGTCCTCGCCCATTTTTAAATTGGGTCATTTTGTTTGTTTGTTTTGGTGCTTTGTTGTTTGTATATTCTGGATGTTGGCTCTCCGTCAGATGTATGGCTGGCAAAGAGTTTTGTCCCACTTTGTGGGTTTCTTTTTCGCTTCGGAAGTTTCACTTGTCAATTGTTGGCCTTAATTTCTGGGCAAATTGAGTCACACTTGGAAAGTCCTCTCCTCTACCTATGTCTGATAGGCTATGACCTATATTTTCTTGTAGAAGTTTTAGCATTTCAGGTTTCAAATCGATGCCTTTGATCTGCTTGGATCAGATTTTTGTGCAGGGTGATATATATGGTTCTAATTTCATTCTTTTCGCAGGTGGATATCCAGTTTTCCACCCACATTTTTCTTCCAAACGTGAGTGACAGTTTCCTGATAATATCTTTTGAGCCATAAAATGTTTTAATTTTTGTGAAATGCAGTTTACCGTTTTGTTTCTTTTGTTGTTTTGTTCTTTGCAACTTAGGACACCGACATTGGCTTGGTAGTGTTCTACATGTTACTATCTAATTGAATATGGCGTCCAGTACCAATTGTTGAAAAGACTATTTCTTTATTGAATAGTTTTAGCACTTTTGTAAAAAAAAAAAAAAAAAAAAAATCAGTCTACTCTAAAATTGAGTTGATTTCTGGACTTTTAATTTTATTCCATTGATCTATATACCCGTGTATCTTATATTTATGACAGCTCACAAGTGGATCAAATGCCCCAGTTTAAAATCTGAAATGCTCAAACTGCTAGAAGAAAACATACGCAGTATCCTACTTAGTTATATCGGAAAGACTTTATTTGTTTATTTACTTTGTGGTACTAGGGATTAAACCTAGAGCCTGAGCATGCTAATAAATAAGCATGTGCTCTACCACTGAGCTACATTCTTCACTCTCTTTACTTTTTCTGTGGAGACAGGTTTGTTCACTAAGTTGACCAGGCTGGCCTTGAACTCACTCTGTCAGTCAGGCAGGTCTTGAACTTGTAAACTTCCTACTTCAGCTTCTCAAGCAGCTGGCATCCAAAGTCTGTACCAAGCCTGACTCAGACAACCTTGATTATTGGAATTTGGCAGTAACTTTCAAAACTGAGACATGGGAGTTCCCTGACTTTGTTCTTAAGATTGTTCGGGTGTCTGGGGATACGTGAAGTTGATAGAGTGCTTGTCTGCAATCTTGGAGATGAAGCATTGGGTTTGTGCTCTCCATGTAATGCAAGATAGTGGTGTCCACCTGTAATCCCTGTACTTGGGAATTAGAGGCAGGAGGGTCAGGAGTTCAAGGTCATCCTCAGCTGCATAGCAAGTGTGAAGCCAGCCTGGGCTACGTGAGACTTTTATCCCCAAAAGATAAAAAAATCAAAATCAAAACAACACACACAGTGAAAGATTGCTGTGGCTTCTGTTCCCTTTACGTTTCCTATGACCTTTACGATTAGTTTATGAAGTTCTGAAAAATGGGGAGTTAGGGTGGGGCGGGGAGTGGAATGTTGTGAAATTGTACTGAATCTGAAGAGAGTTTAGAGAGTGATGTGGTTTTGGTTGGTTATATGCTGTAAGCTTGATCCCCTAGTAAGCTGATGGGGGTGAGGGATGGGTTGGGACTAGTGGTAGGTAATTAGGTACTTACGTGGGGTTAATACTTTTTATTCTAGGTTCACTTTCTCTCTTTCAGAGGAAGTTCTGGAAAGGCAAGGTGCTATGACAGAGTCTGACACCCCCAAATCTCTCTTGCTTCTTTCTCTCACATGTGCCCTTTCTGTATGTGGCAGCTTCCTTTGTGTTTCTCTGCCATGTTGTGGCATAGCCATGCCAGGGGGCCATAGCCAGGATATTGGCTTTATGCTGGTTGGAGTTTGTAGACACCAGAATCATGAGTCAAAGAATCTCTTTATAAGTTACTCAACTTCAGGTATTATTTTAAATAACAACACAAAACAGACCGAGAGCCATGAATGGTCCCTCAGGCTTTTAATCCCAACACTCATGAGGCAGAACTAACCGGATGTCTATGTGTTTGAAACTGGCCTGGTCTATATAGTGAGGTCCAGTCTAGTCAAGGCTGTATAACGAGACCCTGCCTCCAAACAAACAAACAAATGTGGTATATTATCATCTTAATAGTATTATATTTTTATTACACATGCAAGGGATTTATCAGTTACAATAACTTTTTGGTAGATTTCTGATAACTTTCTGTCCTTAATATATTTTCTTTTGTTATTTAAATATATTTTATATAACTTATTTAAGTTTTTCTTGTCTTATTTCCAATACTGAGTCTTCCTTAGAAGCAGTCCTTGTGATTGCTTTTCCTACTATGTTTGAGCTGTTTTCTTGTTTCTTTGTAAGTATCATAATATGTTGAAATTTGTTGAAACTTTTTTCTTTTCTCTTCGTTTTCTATTTTTCTTTTTCCTCCCTTCCTTCTATTTTTCTCTTTCCTTCCTTCCTTCCTTCCTTCCTTCCTTCCTTCCTTCCTTCCTTCCTTCCTGCCTGCCTGCCTTGCCTTGCCCTGCCCTGCCTTGCCTTGCCTTGCCTTGCCTTTCTTACTTCCTTTCTTTTTTTCATTTTTCTTTGAGCAGAATTTCATGTAGTCTAGGCTCAAACTTCAAGCCTGGCTTCAAACTTGATCTTGAATTCCTGGTTCCCTGATTCCACCTCTCCATTGGGATTATAGGCATGTGCCATCATGCCTGGATGAAAACCCTACTTTTTAAATAATATAATGTAGCAACTCCAAAAATTGGATTGTGTTTCCTTCCCAAATGTGTTATTTTTATAGCTACTTATTTACTTATAGTTGTTTCAAGTTGTTTAGTGACTTTTCTGCTGTAAAGTCTGTATTCTCTGTCCTGTGTCTCTATTAAAGCATATAGATAACCTGCCAGTTCATAACTTTGCTCTGGCCCTCATTTCCTACTTGTATATCATCATTTCTAGGTCAGCTCTGTGTGAGAACTTAGGACCAACCAGGGAAGTCTCAGTTCTTTCCTGGGCATTCGCATAACCTTGAATTCTCTGATGGATATGACTGCCTAGCTTTCTAGGAATACACTGGGGTTCAAATCTCATTTCCATACTTCCTTGTAAGTGCTGGGGGTTATTTTTAGGTTTTTATGTACTCAAACTGCTGTCCAGTGTTTTAGGTAGTCACAGAGTCAAACAATGGAGGCCAGTAGTTTTGATAAAAACCCTTGAAGAAAGTATTTTGTACACTGGGTGAATTCCAAGTTGAGCCAAATGAAGCCAGCTTGTAAGTACATTCTACAAGCTGTGTCAGGTAATGGTCTTCTGGGAATAAGTCTTTGCTGCTTGCTCTCTCTCTCTCTGTAGTGGTTTTTCTGGCTGTTGGTTTTTTGAAAATGCTGTGCTGTGGGGGTAAAGATAATAGGAAAAGGCAAGTTATAACACTTAGATATTTGTGGACACTCAGCTATTTAACAAATGCCTCTCAGTTTCAGACAAGCATTTAGTCAACTTTTTAGAATCCTGAAAACTTGGTTGCTAACAGTTTTTGCCAGTTTTCACTGCTTTCCTGAAAGAGGAATTTTGGATATGCTTCTTTGCTGTTTTCACTAATATCACCCTTTCATGTTCATTCTTAATGTTTTCCCCCCATATACTGAATTTAACATTGACATTGTTTTCTTCCAGCACATTGGAGATACCTATCCAAAGTGTCTGAGTTTTCTTGTTCCTGGTCAGCAATCAGTAGTTAGTATGACTTCTCTGCTTGTAGCCTGTGAGTTTTCCATTGCCTTGAAGGATTTCCTCACTGCTTTTTCATTTCTGTAACTTTACTCAGCTCGATACACATCTGCTTGAGATGCACTGTTCTTGTATGCAAGGCACAGCATCTCTCATAAATCTAGAAATTTTGCCGCCATGATCAACATCAGATGTTACTTGTTTATTTTCTCTCTCCTTTCCTTCTGGGACTCTAGTTAAATGTGTATTAGATGTCCTGTCATGTAGTTTCATGATTTTGACTTCACATGCTTTGGTTTGAATATTTTCTTTTGGCCAAATTTTCAGTTCTTCTGTTAGTGTTTTAAAACTCACCCATGATTTTGTAATGTTTCAGTTTTAGATTAAAAAAACCAGAACTATGTTACTTGCTAATAGTTTCTAATGACCGGTTTTTGCTTTCATTAACACGCATGGTTATTTCCTTTAAAATATTTTTTAACTTATTATGTGTGTATGTGTGTCGTTATGTGTTTGTGCACATGCGTATGTGGATGTGTGACCTGTTCATGTGTGGAGGCCAGAGGATTTTATCAGCACCTCCAGGTCTAGAGTCACAGGTGTTTACAGGACATCAGACTTATTACATAGGTGCTGGAACCGGAACTTTGGTCTTACTGAACAGCAACCACTCTTAGCTGCTGGGCTATCTACTCCAAGTACATTTTTTTTCTGTTGTTGTCAAGCATGTGTAATATAAAACCTACCGTTTACAGCATATATAGTTAGAGACTTATTTTATTTAAATTTTCATCATTAAAAAACTGTTATCTATCTTTCTGTCTGTCTGTCCATGTGTATGTGTGTGTACCTGAAGTTATGAATGTGCACCATGTATGTGTAGGAGCCTGTAGAGGTCAGAAGAGGGAATCAGATCCCATGGAAGCAGACTTAAGGTAGTTGTGAGCTACAGTGTGGCTGCTAGGAATCAAACTCAGGCTCTCTGTGTGAACAGGAACCACTCCCGGGCACTGAACCATCTCTCCGGCTTTGATTTTGTTTTTAGTGATATGGATGTGATGTGTATGGGTGTGGGAAAAGGAGTGCAGGCGCCTGCGGAAGTCAGAGGTGTCAGATAGATACCCAGGAGCTGGAGTTACAGGCAATTGCGAGCGTCTCAGTGTGGGTACTGGGACTTGAACTTAGTTAGATCTTCCACGAGAGTTGTGAGAACTCAGCTGCTGAGCCATCTCTCCTCCTCCTTAAACAAACGCTTTAATGTTCAGCTCTGTGACACTAATTACACTCATATAGTTGTGCATCTACAGAAGTTCCTTCATGTAACCTGAGACTCTGACCCGTTAAACAATAGCTTTCTTATTTCAGCTCGTAAGAGTCACCATGCTTCTTAATACCTCTGTGAACTTGACTATTTCATATATCTCAAAGAAGCAGAATAATATAGTATTGTCCTTTTGTGACTGTCTTATTCACCTATAGTTGATCCATCACAAATTTCATTTTTATAAAGGCTGGATAATACAATTTTATTGTGTTTTTGTTAGGGTTTCTATTGCTGTGATAAAGCTCAGTGATCTTAAACAATTTGGAGAGGCAAGGGTTTATTTTAGCCTAGGTCAGGCTCCATTGCTGAGGGAAATCAGGGCAGGAACTGAA